AACGACGGAATATTAATGAGATGTACGTCAGAACGGCTGGATAAATACTTGTAACTTATATCTGATCGGGTCGTCGAGACCACAACCCGACATGCAGGCGGAATATTAATAGGTAACCATGACAACTGCTTGATGACGTGAGCAGCGATGTCTTGACAGGCTGTCAGGTGGTAAAGACCGTCTAGCGCTAAAACACAGGGCCCCAAAGACAGCGACGCGTGAAACGCTTCCGTGATCGTATCGAAATCGGTCAGGTCTAGAAAGTCAAGTTGGATGATGGGATTTAGTCCACGATATTCGGAGCGCAGTTCTGATGTGCAGCGTCTCATGAACGACGTTATCTCTGCTGACCGCTGACCGCTCTCGGCGTAGTGTGATATGACGACGATTCTAGGGTGATCACGAATGAACTTTTTCAGCCAGTTTGACAATATGGCTGACGCACCACCACCACGTTCACCTGGAACAAGACACATATTAGAACTAAGAGGCAAACTTTTCCAATGTCCCATAAGGGGCTGTTGCACTATAAGCAACTTGTCTCGGAACTTGTCTCGCAATGTTAAGAAAAAACGATTTCAGGATTGCATTGCAAGGGATGTTACACCAAGCAATATATTCCATGCAACTTGCAATGATCATTATTAAAAATAATATTAAAACCGCGAGTGCTAACGTTTGGCGCCATATTGACAGTCAAAAGCCAATGGGAAGCCATTCAGTGTATAAACATTGCGAGACTAGTTGCAATAGGGATATCGATGTTACACTGTTCTACTTTTTGCAACGCCGCAATCGTTGCAAAAAGTAGAACTTGAATCTACTTCGTGCAAAGGTTGTCGCAACAAAAATATTGCGAGAGTTGTTGATTGCGAGGCATGATACACCTTGCAATTTCGCGTGCAACTTCTTGTGTCGCAACAAAATTGCGAGACAAATTGCATAGTGCAACAGTGCCTCTGTGTTCAAAACCCAAAATCGTTTTGATCAAAATTACTTTGTCTTAGCTAACATATGACGACCACCTTTTGTTGCTAGAAATCTTTAATTAAACCTTTTTACCTTGAATTTCATAAAGCTTAATCTAGTGTATAGCGCTTTTTTACAGTTATTCAACTATCATTAATAGTGCGCTTAAAAGCGAGCGACGTTTTGTCAACACAGAGGTTACGTGAAAATCAATTGGACCACAGACAGCAGGGTTTTCAGTTTTGTGCGAGGCTCTGGCTAATGGCGATGAAGCTATAGATATTATTTCTACCGATAGAATTTACAAATTCGGGCGAGTACACATAATAGAGACGTGACTAAACGTAAAAGCTCTGGCGAATTTGGGTGGGGTTGAGACAGTATAACTAATTTTGGCGACATTTTGCATTATTGCCGCATTTTGCATCATTTGTAAGGCCGATTTACGCTACAAAACGTTTGCCTAAAACTGTCGCCGTGCAACCTGCTTACAACTTGAGTTGTAGTGTGTAAATCAAACACACAAGTCGTGGGCTTATAAAATAATTTACACAGTACAACTCAAGTTGTAAGCAGGTTCATAATTATACGCATTCGCTATAAAAGTGAAATCTATAATAATAATTGTAGTCACTCACCTACGAGCGCTACGATTGACGGGAAGGTCTCCATGCCCAGAACACTTGTAAGAAATGTGCCCTCGTTAATCTTGGTCAGCGAGCTACTAGACTCTCTGCTGTTAGGGCCACGTGAAGGGTACTGCGCATGTCTCGTTAACGTGTCGAACGTCATGCGTATAAAATCAGTCTCGACGAAAACCTTTCGACGTGTCTTCGCAAACGATTCGTGTGCCGACCATTCACGAAAGTCGGCGTTATGGATCGAAGCGAAAACTTTTTTCTCGATTGGCGGATATAGCGAGTCCAGGACTAGTAACCAGTCTTTTAATATCAAATGACCGAGTTCTTCCACCGTTCTGAAATGTTGCACTGGAAGGTCTAGAATAAGAAAAATATTGAATCGATGAAACAATGAAACAATATTTCCTGGTTTGTCCACCTTTGGGAAACATGGCTAGGAAACAATGTTTCCTGGTTTGTCCACCTTTGGGAAACATGGCTATATAGGAAATAATGTTTCCTGGTTTGTCCACCTTCAGGAAACATGGCTAGGAAACAATGTTTCTTGGTTTGTCCACTTTTGGGAAACATGGCTAGGAAACAATGTTTCCTGGTTTGTCCACCTTTGGGAAACATGGCTAGGAAACAATGTTTCCTGGTTTGTCCACCTTTGGGAAACATGGCTATATAAGAAATAATGTTTCCTGGTTTGTCCACCTTCAGGAAACATGGCTAGGAAACAATGTTTCTTGGTTTGTCCACCTTTGGGAAACATGGCTAGGAAACAATGTTTCCTGGTTTGTCCACCTTTGGGAAACATGGCTAGGAAACAATGTTTCCTGTAGCCTGCGAACAGGCTCTCAAGTTGAATTGAGAGCCTGCATCGATGACTAATGAATTTGAATATCTGCCCCGTAACGTTCGTTTTTCCAAATATGGAATGTCTATCCTTATATGGTGTTGTTTACAACTTTCGTGCAAACTAAATTTAGACCATGCAAACTAAATTTAGACCGCACAGTTTATACTGTTTTTCGAAATATAAGATATTGAAGCAAAAGTTTAAATGTTTTAAATACTGTTTTAGTCAAAACAGAACATTTCGTGCTTTGAGATAAGATGGCCAAGACCAATTTGATCAGTTAATGTGTTTTTTATGCATAGTGCAGTTGACATATATATATAGAGCTCAGCGGAATAATATAAATTATAGCATCTGGCCAATGAGAATTTCGCGTCACGATTTGAGACGCAAATATTCAAATTCATTAGTCATCGATGCAGGCTCTCAATTCAGCTTGAGAGCCTGTTCGCAGGCTATGTTTCCTGGTTTGTTCACCTTTGGGAAACATGGCTAGGAAACAATGTTTCCTGGTTTGTCCACCTTTGAGAAACATGGCTAGAAAACGCGTGTTCACATTACCTGTATCAATAATCTGTTGCTTTAGCTCTCTTACTTTTCTCGCGGCAAACTCGCTCTCACTTTCATAAATTTCCATCAACATCGCTCGTTGCGAGGTGTTCAGGTCAACACTCTGCTCTTCAAGATGGCCGGGATCACGGAAGTAAAAATAACAATGATCTGTTCGTTCTCGGAATGATGCTTTGATGATCTCGAGTTCTGTGAGACTGCAGTGTCTGAAGAGTAAAGAAACTAGTGTTCACTGTCAGCCTGTGTTCATGGCTTTAGCAACTACAAGCCAACCAACCAAACTCACTTATACGGCTACCTGTCAGATTGCGTGAATAATTCACCCTTTCCTGATTTATATTTTGCACTTATTTCGCTACTGATGTCCTAATTATATAAAGGTCTTTTGTATCCTCTAATACAACAAACTGTACAGGTAAACTTACTTATTTTCGTTGTCCAAGACCCACTCGTTACCACAAGCAGCCGCCATTTCAAAATTCTTATCCAACCAATCAACTGTTGTCTGCAAGGTTTCATCAGAATGTGACATTGCATCTGGTGGACGATGCACGCCATATCGCTCTCCCAGAAGACAAATGAAAAACGGCGAACACTCCTTGATAGCGTCGAGACATTGTTGAAGCACTTTTGTGTCATTGGTATTACACGATTCTTCATTCCAGCGTAAATCTACTGGCGAAAACCTGGTTCCTCTCTCTTGGCAACGTTCTGGTATAAATGAGCATTAGAGTTAAGGCTGATTTCCACTGTTGTGTTTTTCGTACGCACGTAAAACTTCGAATCCTTCTATTTTTTAAATATTTTACAAATAAGTTAACAAATGCATGCTATTAACTTGCGGGACACTAAATTCTGTTGCTTTATTTATTTGGTTATTTCATAAGTAACATTTAAGTACTATTTAAAAAACGAGCAGGAGTGTTTTATTAGGTTTAAAGCCAGGAGCGCGCAGCGCGAGTGGCTTTAGACCTAATAAAACACGACCTGCGAGCTTCAAAAACGTTTGCATAATAAGTCAAATCTTTAGATAAAAATCTTTATATAAGAATCTTTATAATTATATAAAATCTTTATATAAAAATCTTTATATAGTTTGCATAACAATCATGGTCTTTTGTTAAAGTGTTCTTTAGTTGGTATAAAGACGTATGCACGTGACTAATTTCTTACTCAAGATTGGATAATTGCTTCATGAACTATTTAAAAAACGAGCAGGAGTGTTTTATTAGGTTTAAAGCCACGAGCGCGCAGCGCGAGTGGCTTTAGACCTAATAAAACACGACCCGCGAGTTTTTTAAATGACTTCAAAAACGTATGCATAATAAGCCAAATCTTTATATAAAAATCTTTATATAAAAATCTTTACATAAAAATCTTTATATAGTTTGCATAACAATGGTCTTTTGTTAAAGTGTTCTTTAGCTGGTATAAAGACGTATGCACGTGACTAATTTCTTACTCAAGATTGGATAATTGCTTCATGAATTATTAATGAGTTTTTGAAATGGATTTAAAGTTTAACGTGCGTATACGTACGTAAGAAAAACGCAACAGTGGAAATCAGTCTTAAGTGGGGTCTTTTAAATTGCATGGGTGTGTAATTTCAGTGCATTGCAGCTTAATAGGTTAACAAAACACACTGGCATATCGTTTGGTTAACCTTGACAGGGCTGTAACTTCTAGGTAGTGTAATACCCTCCAAAGAAAAGTCAATGAAGGGGCCCAATTTCCCCAGAGGGGCCCCCAAAAATGCTGGAATTGCAGGACGTTACAAATATTGAATAATATTGTGAAAAATTGAGGTCGAAAAATGCTCGACCAATTATCTCATTCCAAGGGGTAATTTCAGATGCAATTGTTACATATGTCAATATCTCCTTATAATTTTATATCAATTTTCTGTATGCAATGTAATGTAAAGTCGCATGCACTATGTATACATGCAGGACAGTTTTTTACACATGGAAAAATCTTGCAGCAAGCTTTCCAACAGCATCAACAAATTGTGTTCGCACTGCTTGTCCCGGCCAAGTTGTCAACAAGTATGGAACAAGCTGTTAACGGTCGTAACAACCTTTTTGCTAAAGTTTCTGAAATGTTCTCTGATCGTAAATTTTTATTTAAAACACAAGCTTTCGACTGTGGCAGTCGAAAGCTCGTGTTTTAAATAAAAATTTACGATCAGAGAACGTTTCAGAAACTTTATTATGAATCCTGTTCGTGCATCTAGCATTTTTAACCTTTTTGCTGTTATCAGACTTGTTGCAAAGTTGTCCGAACAAGTCCGATACAGTCGATCATGATTAACAACAATATTGTAATGTTACAACTTACTTTGTATCATATCAATCTTTTAACATTCCTGTTAGACAATGACTGTATCAGACTTGTTAGAATAACAATGTAACAAGCCTGATCATGTCATCAAGCTTGTTACAAGTTGTTAACAGCTTGTTCCAAACATAATATACAACAACTGGCAACAAGCAGTGCGAACACAACTTGTCGACAGCTTGGGAATAGAATTGTAACAACTTGTGCATTTTTATATGTGTATATAATTAGTGCAATAACTAGTGGTCAACTGTAACATAAATACAGTATCTCGGAGATTAAATTGTTCACCATATATATATACACATGTGTAAATTAACGCACAGGTTGTAACAAACTTGCCGCAGACTTTATGCTGTTCCAACAACTTGCCATCAGGATGTCTTTGCACTGCATGACAAGTTGTCAACGGCTTGTTGGCAACTTGCTACAAGGTTGCTGAGCTCAACAGACTTGTTACAAGTTGTTCAAACAACTTGTTATCGTCCTGCAATTCAACAATTTGTCAACAAGTTGTGAGTGACAACCTTGTAGCAACTTGATAAAATAACAGCATTGTTACAACTTGTTGACAAGCTTGCTACAAACCTGTTGCGAACACATCTTGTTGACAAGTTGTGAGATTTTGACGTGTGTACATATTCCATCTCACTACGCGTGTAACACAATTAATATCAAACGAGGCACGAAATAAACAAATAAAAACCTTCAAAACCCCAACTATATTTTAAGCTTACAAACAATATTATGCCATTAAATAATAAACACTGCATATATCTAAACCTTGTAGTCGAGGAAAAACAACAGCAGCCAAGTAGTTTCTCTCCTTGGAAAAATCCTTGAACGTCGAACACACGAAAGGAGTTATGGCGTCTCTCGAAGCAATTTCATAACGCATGGAGGCCAAACGTCGCTCCATCTTTCAAATAAATCACAATCTCACACGATTTTCAAGAACATCTGTTAATTGCCAACAATTTAAATGAAATTGATTGCACATCAAACACCAGATTTTGGAAAATTTACAATTTAAAATGAAGATTGTTTTGAAAGCTTTAATTGCCACTGGCAACATCATGTAACAATTATCGTACTAAATCACATACACTAAAAGTCGCCCTTAAAGCAAGCCAGCCAAACAACCTCGGAAGCCAGGATCTTTTACCTGCGCTCGGGCTAAATCCATACCAATTTAATACCATAGCAAAATCCAGTATGTTCATGAACACGTTCATATATATATACCAAAAATCTCCAGTATGCTCATAAGCATATTACTGGATTAATGGTATAATGGTACATAACGAGCGTGCTCATGAGAATACCAAATCCGCTATTTTCATGAGCACGCTCAAATATGCACCAAAATTGAGTATAAATATGCTCACGAGCACGGTCATCAGTATATATTTCCAAATCCAGTAGATGTAACGAACGAGCTCAGTTATCAGAGAATTCCAAATCCAGTACTGATCCTCAAATAACCACCAAAATACAGTATGCTCATGAGAACGCCGATATATATTTCCAAATCAAGTATCCTCAAAAGCACATTCCTGGAACTGAATATGGTACACAACGGGCGTGCTAATGAGAACCCCAAATCCACTATCCTCATGAGCACGATCAAATAGCCACCAAAATACAGCATCTATGCTCATGAGGACGATCATATAACCACCTAAATACAGTAGTATGTCAGATTTCAGTATAATTTTTAGCCACGGCGGTCTGTGGCTAAATCGTATCTCAGATTTCAGTATACTTTTTAGCCACGGCGTTCTCGGTGGCTAAATAGTATGTCAGATTTCAGTATACTTTTTAGCCACGGCGGTCTGTGGCTAAATAGTATCTCAGATTTCAGTATACTTTTTAGCCACGGCGGTCTGTGGCTAAATAGTATGTCAGATTTCATTATACTTTTTAGGCACGGCGGTCTGTGGCTAAATAGTATCTCAGATTTCAGTATACTTTTTAGCCACGGCGGTCTGTGGCTAAATAGTATCTCAGATTTCAGTATACTTTTTAGCCACGGCGGTCTGTGGTTAAATAGTTTCTCAGATTTCAGTATACTTCTTAGCCACGGCGGTCTGTGGCTAAATAGTATGTCAGATTTCAGTGTGGTTTTCAGCCACGGCGGTCTGTGGCTAAATAGTATCTCAGATTTCAGTATACTTTTTAGCCACGGCGGTCTGTGGCTAAATAGTATGTCAGATTTCAGTATACTTTTTAGCCACGGCGGTCTGTGGCTAAATAGTATGTCAGATTTCAGTATATAATTTTTGGCCACAGCGGTCTGTGGTTAAATAGTATGTCAGATTTCAGTATACTTTTTAGCCACGGCGGTCTGTGGCTAAATAGTATGTCAGATTTCAGTATAATTTTCAGCCACGGCGGTCTGTGGCTAAATAGTATGTCAGATTTCAGTAGACTTTTTAGCCACGGCGGTCTGTGGCTAAATAGTATGTCAGATTTCAGTAGACTTTTTAGGCACGGCGGTCTGTGGCTAAATAGTAAGTCAGATTTCAGTATACTTTTTAGCCACGGCGGTCTGTGGCTAAATAGTATATCAGATTTCAGTATACTTTTTAGGCACGGCGCGGTCTGTGGCTAAATAGTAGGTCAGATTTCAGTATACTTTTTAGCCACGGCGGTCTGTGGCTAAATAGTATGTCAGATTTCAGTATAATTTTCAGCCACAGCGGTCTGTGGCTAAATAGTATCTCAGATTTCAGTATACTTTTTAGCCATGGCGGTCTGTGGCTAAATAGTATGTCAGATTTCAGTATACTTTTTAGCCACGGCGGTCTGTGGCTAAATAGTATGTCAGATTTCAGTATAATTTTTAGCCACGGCGGTCTGTGGCTAAATAGTATGTCAGATTTCAGTTACTTTTTAGCCACGGCGGTCTGTGGCTAAATAGTATGTCAGATTTCAGTATACTTTTTAGCCACGGCGGTCTGTGGCTAAATAGTATATCAGATTTCAGTATACTTTTAGCCACGGCGGTCTGTGGCTAAAAAGTATACTGAAATTTAAGTTTATACTGAAATCTGAAAACCTGTTCGCAGGCTAGGTATACTTTTTAGCCACAGATCGCCGTGGCTAAAAGTATAGTGAAATCTGATATACTTTTTAGCTACAAACCACAGTGGCTACAAAGTATACTAAAATCTGTACTACTTTTTAGCCACAGACCGCCGTGGCTAAAAAGTATACTGAAATCTGACATACTATTTAGCCGCAGACCGCCGTGGCTTAAAAGTATACTGAAATCTGATATACTATTTAGCCACAGACCGCCGTGGCTAAAAAGTATACTGAAATCTGACATATACTATTTAGCCGCAGACCGCCGTGGCTAAAAAGTATACTGAAATCTGACATACTATTTAGCCACAGACCGCCGTGGCTAAAAAGTATACTGAAATCTGACATACTATTGAGCCACAGACCGCCGTGGCTGAAAAGTATACTGAAATTTGGTACACTTTTTAGCCACAGGCCGCCGTGGCTAAAATGTATGCTGAAATATGTATCAGGGCCGTAGGAAGCTCTTTTCGATTGGGGGAGGGGGCTGAAAGCGAGGGCCGAAGGCCCGAGGAAATTTTTAAATTTAAAGTCTCTAAAATGCCATTTCCTGGACTTTGGGGGAAGATTTAACAGAATTCTGATAGTCAGAAAACAGCGTTTTAGTATGTCGAAATTTACAGGAAAGTATGGGCCAGACTGTATTATTATAAATGCGCGGCGGGAATTTTCGTCGTAAATGGCAGTTGCGCGGAAATGAAGGCAGAACATTTGAGAAAATTTCGAAAATCTGGAGTCTCTAGATGGTCTGAAATGGCATTTTCAGAGTTTTCTTTCGCAAGACCCAACACGCAAAAGACAAAATAAATCATTAGTTCATCAAAATGTGCAGATTTTGTGGGATTTTCTTGAAAATGCGCGACAGAAATTCAGCTAAAATTTCTACGCGAGGAACGATCTGGAGTATGAGTAATATCTTCATTCTTTGCAGTTTGTCACAGATTAAATGATAAAGTTTGCATGATTTTGAAAAAAGAATGATTATTAGCAAATTATTGGGGGGGGGGCTGCAGCCCCCCAGCCCCCCCGGTTGCTACGGCCCTGTGTATACTTTATAGCCACAGAACGCCGTGGTTATAAGGTCGAGAGACATCCCAAGTGCATGGATCACGCTATACTCAGGCTAGGATCACACGCTATCCTACCTGGAAAACCATTTGGTAATTGTTTTTATAAAATAACTACAATGAAACAATGACATTTTAAGAATCCCGCGAAAATCCCGCGAAGGCATTTTAATTCCTTGTGGACCAATCAAATTGCGTGTTTCACTGTAGCATAGTTATTATGTAAAGACTTTTGATGGATGGTTTTTAAAAGCACAACATGTTGCTTGGAAATTCCAATATGGCGGGAGGTTTAAAGTTTAAAGCTCATTTTGTTAAAAAAAAAGACAAAGAAGGGGAAAAATATAACGAAAGAAGGTAAATTTATAAGATCCATGTTTAGATCGTGATAAGCTGAGTGTAGACGTGTTTTGAGGAGTTGATGGTGATTTTCTAAAAAGTTTTAACAAAGCTTTATAATGAAACTTTATCTTTTATATATTAATTTACACAATTACACTAGGCAACTTTTGCCTGAAACTGTCGCTTAATGATGCTTGCAACCTGCTTACAACTTGAGTTGTACTGAGTACATCAAGCCGACAACTTACTTACGACAACATAGGGGAATTGTGTGCTTGATTTACACCGACAGGCGACAGTACAACTCAAGTTTAAAAGCAACTGCAACAGCCTGCATGTGACAGTTTTTGTGTTTATTGTCGATTTCAAGTCACTTTTCAACGTGCGGTTCCCAAATTCATTGCAAACTTGCTAATTACGTTTCCAAGTTCAAAAGTTGGGCATGAATTTCGCAACAAAGTTCGCATTCGTACATTTGAACTATTGTAAAGAAATGTTGATAGTTCAAGTTTAAATTAACAATTTAATGGAAAGTTCTTGGTCCAGTGGGCTACCAAGAAGGTTTGTATCACATTGAATTGGTTATAGATTCCAGCTGTAGACTAAATTTTGATCAAGGCAAGAAGAACAGAATCCAACACCACAGCTAAAAAGAGCATCTTGAATTGAGTAAAACTGCAAAGATTGTTCGCGAAATGTTGTAAAATGAGGAAAATATAGCCCTGTGAAATTCGCAAATTTTGTATATATTTGTATTACGCGCGGTAAAAATAACCACTTTCGGCTCAAAAATGGTTATTTTTCCTGCCGCGTAATGCAAATATATACCGTACAACATTTGCAAACTTCACAAGGCTATATTTTTCTTATTTTACACAGTCAATTGAGATAAAATATTTCAACTATAGCTCACCCATCTTGTTTTAGGCCGGCGAACGGCGAATTTCGCCAGCGTTAAGGAGACATTTGGTAGCCATTCGCCAGAGGCTGTGTGTAATTCGCCGGTACTTGCAGTCATGACAAGCTGAAATTTTTAGCCCAGTCTTGCACTAGGACAATATACCAAATAGACAATTAAAGCTTGCAAGTCTAACTCATGCAACTTACAGCGCCCTTGAAACTTCGACCTTCCATTCTTGATCAATTAATAGCCGGAGCCTCAGTAGATCAAAACAGTATTGGTTATACCCAAATTATTATTAGCCAGGACTTCAAACGGATACCTGAAGGGCTATAGTATAGCTACAATTATTTAATATACACTGTAAAACTTTTTACAAATTAAAATTTTCTACATTTTTTAAGAAAACAAATTATTGTCAATTAATAGCCCTAAAATTTTATAACTAATATGTAATTAAATATACACATATAATTAGCATAACTAAATCATAATTAATGACATTCTATTGTTAGTGATTGAAAAGTTAACTATAATCATTAAAACCTTGTCGGTACACTATTCATACAGTGACACTATAGGCCTGGTGAAATCGATCAATATTTAAGAGTAAATATAATTGATACAGTTTTCAAAATGGTTTTAAAAGGACAATTTTATCAGTAGATTTTTAAATTTGGTGTGCTAAAAAAGAATTGTTGGAACTCTATTAAGGGGGCTCCTCATACAGATTACCCTTGTTCCAGAGGCTCTTTGCGGGGCGAAATCTTTGCGAGGCGAGAGAAACAAGAGGCGAGAAGGATGAGCCTTTGGTCACATCGGTTGCAAATCCCTCACTTCCACACTTGATTAGGTTCAGAATTTGAATCTCGCATGTGATTGGCCATTTGTAAAAATATGTCAAACCGGTTTGGGAAAACAACATCACTGCAAGCTAATTATAGCTATATAAAAGCTATAATTAGCTTGTTTATTTCCCAAACCGGTTTGACATATTTTTACAAATGGCCAATCACATGCGAGATTCAAATTCTGAACCTAATCAAGTGTGGAAGTGGGATTTGCAACCTATGTGACCAGTCAGGCTCTTCCTTCTCGCCTCTCGTTTCTTTCGCCTCACAAAGAGTCTCTGGAACCAGGATACTTACAGATTACAGTTTTTTAGGAAACGGAAAGTCCGTATTTTCGGAAACTTTTTACTTGTTGAAAAACAGAAAGCATCTTACTGACATAAAGCAACATCTAAAGGGTTTGAATTTTTTCACATAAGTTATGCAACTGCCGTTGCTATGGCAATAATGACGTTTCGAAATGTTGGGCATTTGGCTTTAAAGTAATTTCAATTGAACTCGAGAACCGTACATCTGTGTCGTAATCCCCCAAATTTCATTTGATAAAATGATTTCTCTCATAATAGTATACGCAATTTGAAAAAAAAATACACTCGTGAGTTTTTCAAAGACTTCAAATTGATAGCCTTTGAAAAACTCACTCGTTCACGTTTTTCCAAATTGCACTTTAAACCATACTAATACCTATACGTATTCTCAATTATTTTGACAACTTAAAAAGATTCTGTCGAACCAAAAAAAAGACTATAGATCCATTGCACATGACGTCACAGCGCCGGTGACGATGCATCTGGAGAACAAATTAGCAATCTATGCATAATATAACTTTTGTAAACAAAGAAAATTTTGTAAAACTTTATAATAATTTTGTATTAAAATGGTTAATTTTTACGCTGTATGTGGTTGTTGTACCCGAACAGATATTGTTAGGGAGCATCTGGAGGACACTCTACGGATTTGTGACGTCAGTGCAATGGGTCTATTACGAATATCACATTTATGTAATTCAGAAAAATTTTGGCCCGACAGAAATTATCGTTAATGATTGAGTACACTAAAAGAAATAATTTTATGAAGTAGAATTTGGGGGTCACCCACATCGGTGTTAAATTACTTTAAAGCCAAAATATCCGCCATATTGAAACGTCATTGTTGCCAAAGCAACGGTAGTTGCGTCACTTTTGTGGAAAAGAAAAGCCCTTCCTTGTCAGTTTTCCATTGACACCTATGCGATACTGCAACACAATCTCAAAACCTACGGCTATACATTTTCACCTTAATAATAGTTATACAGCATCTATCTTTTCATCACAGATGAATCCTAATGCTGTTTCCACCTTAGATCCATATTTTCAAAAACTAACATCACCTGAGGAATATTCTCCTGTCAATGCCTTCTTTACTTATAAATTCTCATTGTGTTTCCACTTGGAGGTTTTCATATTTCACACGTAAGACGGCAGCGATGATTGCGACGCGCTTGTTTTTTCCCCTTTTCCATATTGGCCAATAAACGAGCCGTGCTCAGAGAAATCGTCATCAGACCCGTCGTACTCGTCTAGACTGTCGCGGCTGACTGCCCCTCCGTTACTGGTCGGGGGAGAGGTGGCCACCTCTGGAACGTCGTCTTTGGATGCTTTGATTGGATCGTATGTCTTGCCGTACGGTTCGTCACCATTACTAGAAAGAAATATTAAACCGTTAGGTTGCATTGCGCCGTAAAGGTATAAAGAAGTACTATAGCAACAAAATTGCAGCTGCTTGCAATGAAATCTTATTTCAACGCATGTTGAATGGACCATTCCCCAATTAACCAAAATTTTGAACTCAACAAGTCTAGACAAAAATTTCACCACAGCTTGAAAGAGCATCACAAAATTAGTAATATTCCAAAGTTTCGTTGCAAAATGTTGTAAAATGCGGATAATATAGTCTTGCGAAGTTTGCAATTTTCAGTCATTTTAGATTACAAATGGGAAATGGTTACCACTTCTGTGCGTAATACAAAATGACTGAAAATTACAAACTTTGCAAGGCTATATTATCCGCATTTTACAACATTTTGCAACGAAACTTTGGTGTATTACTAATTTTGTGATGCTCTTTCAAGCTGCGATGAAATTTTTGTTTACGCTAGTTAAGATCAAAATTTTGGAAAAGTGGTAACCATTTCCCGTTTGTAATCTAAAATTACTGAAAATTGCAAATTTCGCAAGGCTATATTATCCGCATTTTACAACATTTCGCAACGAAACTTTGGAATATTACTAATTTTGTGATGCTCTTTCATGCTATGATGGAATTTTGTCTAGACTTGTTGAGATCAAAATTTTGGTTAATTGGGGAATGGTCCATTGAAATGTTCACACACAAGTTGCCAACACCCGAGAAAACATTAGTACAAATTTCCAATTAACATGCGTTGAAATCAGATTTTATTGCAAGTTGCTGCAATTTTGTTGCTCGTATTACTTTAATACCTTAATGCGTCATATTTTCTCATTTTACTCTGGCTGACGCAAGATGATTTTACTCGTCAAGGGGAGAGCACCGGTGCTCAATTAGTATTTTTGCACAAGTGAACATAACAAATCCTACAAGGTGATTTGTCAAATTTGACGTATTAATCTGTTATATTCACCTGCAGGTGAATATAACAAAATCGAAATTTTCAAAATGGCGGCTAGCCGTTTTGTTGAAGTTTATAGTGATAAAGAAATAAGCGAAATTAAAATGAATTCAGACCAGAAAAACACAAAAATACTAAAACAATTATTCGCCTCAGGTTCGGTGATTATCGGGGAATATTCACCTCGACTTCGTCTCGGCGAATACTCCCCGATAATCACGTCGCCTTCGGCGAATAATTGTTAAATAATATTGATAATAATAAACATGAAAAATTTCTCAATTCTGGTATATTGGCTCAGAGCAGTGCATTTTTTTTTCAAAATACAGTGCAAAAAAGAAACACAGTGCAAATTCCTTAATTTTCTAAATTTTCCTAATTTCTTATTTTTCAAAGTTCTTGATTTTCTTAATTTCTTCATTTCTAAAAGTGACTTATACGTACGTGACTGCATATTTTTTTCATGTACATTATTATGCATATTTAAAACATGAGCAGCAGTGTCATATATAAAGACACGAGGCGAAGCCAAGTATCTTTAGGTCTGATAAAACACGCACTGCGAATGTTTTAAATTGCTTCAAAAACGATCGATGTAGTAAGTTTATTGGCGAAGTAATTTAAGTTAGTCAAAAAATTCGTTGTGTAAGTCGAGAAAATCAAAGTTAAAGTTTATGTAAATCTCTATCACATATAAAGATTCGACACGCTTATGATTTTTCTTTGTGTTTTTCTCATGAATTATTAATGAGCTTTGAATAATAAATAATATTTAAAGTTTGTTCGTTCACTGCAACCAGGTATATCAATCATGTTTCGCTCGATACTCTGGTTTAAATAAATGATTACAAAGCCCAGTCGAATTGTAATCAAGAGCCAACGTTTCGACACTCCAGTATAGTGTCTTCATCAGGGTCTTCGACCCTGACAACGTTTCGACAACGTTTCGACACTGGTCTAGTGTCTTCACCCTGATGAAGACACTAGACTGGAGTGTCGAAACGTTGGGTCTTGATCAAAATTCGACTGGGCTTTGTAATTTTTTATTTAAACCATAGTAGCGAGCGAAACATGATTATTAAATAATAGTATGCATGGTTTCTCGTGCGATTTGAAAAAAACATAAACTCGTGAGTTTTTCAAAGACTTCAATTTTGATAGTCTTTGAAAAACTTACTCGTGCATGTTTTTCGAAACCATACTATTATTACCTATACTAGTATTGATATTTTTCCGGACAACATCTTTGTCAATCTTATTTTGTGTTTAACCACCATTGTTCATTCAATTTTTCCCCTTAATTTTTTCGTAAATTTCTACACATTAATTTTCATCATGTGGTGTGCTCCCAAGTTACTTACACTTCAGCGTCTTTCAAAGGATGTTCTTCTCCCATCTCAATTGAGTCGTTCACTGCGCGTTCCTTTTCTCTCTCACCCACTATATATAAAGATAGATATCGAGTGTTTAGTCGTATCAATAATAGAATAGACTGCGTGGTTGAGCCCACATTTCTCAGGTCAAGCTGTGAACAACTTGTAACAAGCTTGATGGCATTATCAGACTTGTTACAAGGTTGTTCTAACAAGTCTAATACAGTCCGATGATATAACAAGAATGTTACAAGGTTGACGACACAAGGTTGTAACATTCTTGTTATATCATGACTGTATTGGACTTGTTGGAACAACCTTGCTACAAGCCCGATAATATCAACAAGCTGTGAACAACTTGTAACAAGCTTGATAGCATT